GTACACTTAGTAATAAGTATCCCCGTGACAGTGTACACTTAGTAATAAGTATCCCCGTGACAGTGTACACTTAGTAATAAGTAACCCCGTGACAGTGTACACTTAGTAATAAGTATCCCCGTGACATTGTACACTTCTGTAACCCTTTCCATCACTGCCCACGGGATGGGTATGGGGTGCATAATAAACAAAGAGAGAGAGAGGGAAATAACAAGAATGAAGGGAGGGGGGGGGGGGTGAGCGCCAGACGCCCAGGGCTGCCAACTGTACACGCACACCACCACAACCCTCCACCTCAACACAACAACAACAACAACCCTCCACCTCAACACAACAACAACAACAACCCTCCACCTCAACACAACAACAACAACAACCCTCCACCTCAACACAACAACAACAACAACAACAACAACCTCCACCTCAACAACAACAACAACAAACAACCCTCCACCTCACAACAACAACCAACCCTCCACCTCAACACAACAACAACAACACAACAACCCTTCCACCTCAACAACAACAACAACAACCCTCCACCTCAACACAACAAACAACAACAACCCTCCACCTCAACACAACAACAACAACTCTCCACCTCAACAACAACAACAACAACAACCCTCCACCTCAACAACAACAACAACAACCCTCCACCTAAACACAACAACAACAACAACAACCCTCCACCTCAACACAACAACAACAACAACCCTCCACCTCAACACAACAACAACAACAACAACAACAACAACAACAACAACAACTCACCACCTCAACACAACAACAACAACAACAACAACAACAACAACAACAACAACAACAACAACCCTCCACCTCAACAACAACAACAACAACAACAACAACAACAACAACAACAACAACTCACCACCTCAACACAACAACAACAACAACAACAACAACAACAACAACTCTCCACCTCAACACAACAACAACAACAACAACAACAACAACAACAACCCTCCACCTCAACACAACAACAACAACCCTCCACCTCAACAACAACAACAACAACTCACCACCTCAACACAACAACAACAACAACAACAACTCTCCACCTCAACACAACAACAACAACAACAACAACCCTCCACCTCAACAACAACAACAACAACCCTCCACCTCAACACAACAACAACAACAACAACCCTCCACCTCAACAACAACAACAACAACAACCCCTCCACCTCAACACAACAAACAACAACAACAACAACACAACACAAACAACAACAACCCTCCACCTCAACACAACAACAACAACCCTCCACCTCAACAACAACAACAACAACCCTCCACCTCAACAACAACAACAACAACAACAACAACAACAACAACTCCACCTCAACACAACAACAACAACAACAACCACAACAACAACACACCTCAACACAACAACAACTCCAACAACAACAACAACACAACAACAACCCTCCACCTCAACACAACAACAACAACAACAACAACCCTCCACCTCAACACAACAACAACAACCCTCCACCTCAACACAACAACAACAACCCAACACCTCAACAACAAACAACAACCCTCCACCTCAACACAACAACAACAACAACCCTCCACCTCAACACAACAACAACAACAACAACAACCCTCCACCTCACAACTCAACACAACAACAACAACAACAACCCTCCACCTCAACACAACAACAACAACAACAACAACAACAACAACAACAACAACAACAACAACAACAACAACAACAACAACTCTCCACCTCAACACAACAACAACAACCCTCCACCTCAACACAACAACAACAACCTCCACCTCAACACAACAACAACAACCAACCCTCCACCTCAACACAACAACAACCCTCCACCTCAACACAACAACAACCCTCCACCTCAACAACAACAACAACCCTCCACCTCAACAACAACAACAACAACCTCCACCTCAACACAACAACAACACAACAAACAACAACCCTCCACCTCAACACAACAACAACAACACCCTCCACCTCAACACAACAACAACAACAAACAACCCTCCACCTCAACACAACAACAACAACCCTCCACCTCAACAACAACAACAACAACCCTCCACCTCAACACAACAACAACAACAACCCTCCACCTCAACACAACAACAACAACAACAACCCTCCACCTCAAAACAACAACAACCCTCCACCTCAACACAACACAACAACACCCTCCACCTCAACAACAACAACAACAACACCCCTCAACACAACAACAACAACAACAACCTCCACAACAACAACACAACAACAACCACCTCAACACAACAACAACACAACAACAACAACAACCCTCCACCTCAACACAACAACAACAACAACACCTCCACCTCAACACAAACAACAACAACCCTCCACCTCAACAACAACAACAACAACCCTCCACATCAACACAACAACAACAACAACAACCCTCCACCTCAACACAACAACAACAACAACCCTCCACCTCAACACAACAACAACCCTCCACCTCAACACAACAACAACAACAACCCTCCACCTCAACACAACAACAACCCTCCACCTCAACACAACAACAACCCTCCACCTCAACAACACAACAACCCTCCACCTCAACACAACAACAACAACCCTCCACCTCAACACAACAACAACCCTCCACCTCAACACAACAACAACAACCCTCCACCTCAACACAACAACAACAACCCTCCACCTCAACACAACAACAACCCTCCACCTCAACACAACAACAACCCTCCACCTCAACACAACAACAACCCTCCACCTCAACAACCAACAACAACCCTCCACCTCAACACAACAACAACAACCCTCCACCTCAACACAACAACAACAACAACCCTCCACCTCAACACAACAACAACAACCCTCCACCTCAACACAACAACAACAACCTTCCACCTCAACAACAACAACAACAACAACAACAACCCTCCACCTCAACAACAACAACAACAACCCTCCACCTCAACACAACAACAACCCTCCACCTCAACAACAACAACCTCCACCTCAACAACAACAACAACAACAACCCTCCACCTCAACAACAACAACAACAAAAACAACCCTCCACCTCAAAAACAACAACAACAACAACCCTCCACCTCAACACAACAACAACAACCCTCCACCTCAACACAATAACAACAACAACAACAACCTTCCACCTCAACAACAACAACAACAACAACAACCCTCCACCTCAACAACAACAACAACAACAACCCTCCACCTCAACACAACAACAACAACAACAACAACAACCCTCCACCTCAACAACAACAACAACAACAACCCTCCACCTCAACACAACAACAACAACAACAACAACACCACAACAACAACAACAACAACCCTCCACCTCAACACAATAACAACAACAACAACAACTCCACCTCAACAACAACAACAACAACAACAACCCTCCACCTCAACAACAACAACAACAACAACAACCCTCCACCTCAACAACAACAACAACAACAACCCTCCACCTCAACAACAACAACAACAACAACAACAACAACAACCCTCCACCTCAACAACAACAACAACAACAACAACAACCCTCCACCTCAACAACAACAACAACAACAACAACAACCCTCCACCTCAACAACAACAACAACAACAACAACCCCTCCACCTCAACAACAACAACAACAACAACAACAACCCTCCACCTCAACAACAACAACAACAACAACAACAACAACAACAACCCTCCACCTCAACAACAACAACAACAACAACAACAACAACCCTCCACCTCAACACAATAACAACAACAACAACAACCTTCCACCTCAACAACAACAACAACAACAACCCTCCACCTCAACAACAACAACAACAACAACAACCCTCCACCTCAACAACAACAACAACAACCCTCCACCTCAACAACAACAACAACCCTCCACCTCAACACAACAACAACAACAACAACAACAACCCTCCACCTCAACACAACAACAACAACAACACAACAACAACAACCCTCCACCTCAACACAACAACAACAACACAACAACAACAACCCTCCACCTCAACACAACAACAACAACACAACAACAACAACAACCCTCCACCTCAACACAACAACAACAACAACAACAACAACCCTCCACCTCAACACAACAACAACAACACAACAACAACAACAACCCTCCACCTCAACACAACAACAACAACACAATAACAACAACAACAACAACAACAACCACAACCCTCCACCTCAACACAACAACAACCCTCCACCTCAACACAATAACAATAACAACAACAACAACAACAACAACAACACAACAACAACAACCCTCCACCTCAACACAACAACAACAACACAATAACAACAACAACAACACAACAACAACCCTCCACCTCAACACAACAACAACAACACAATAACAACAACAACAACAACAACAACAACAACCCTCCACCTCAACACAACAACAACAACACAATAACAACAACAACAACAACAACAACCACAACCCTCCACCTCAACACAACAACAACCCTCCACCTCAACACAACAACAACAACACAATAACAACAACAACACAACAACAACAACCCTCCACCTCAACACAACAACAACAACAACCCTCCACCTCAACACAACAACAACCCTCCACCTCAACACAACAACAACAACACAATAACAACAACAACAACACAACAACAACCCTCCACCTCAACACAATAACAATAACAACAACAACAACAACAACAACAACCACAACCCTCCACCTCAACACAAAAACAACAACAACAACAACAACAACAACCCTCCACCTCAACACAAAACAATATTCCCGGGAATCGAACCCAAGACCAAACGCTTGTGATGCAGACTACCCTATTATCATCTTTATTATTATTATTATTATTATTATTATTATTATTATTATTATTATTATTAATATTATTATTATTTTTATTACTTCTTTCTCTTCAGATGGATGAGCGTGGATAAAGGAGCACAATAGATTCGTGAAGGTGGTGCAGGTGTAGTGACATCACAGGCAGATGAATTGGCTGCATAGTGAGTAGTGAGAGAGAGAGAATAGTGTGAGTGAGAGAGAAGATTGGACGCCGGCAGCAACAGCCATGAAGATCACACTCATCAACTTGCTGTGTGTGTTCTGTTGGTGTTCCCTGCAGATCTTGGCCCTCCCGGACACCATACTCATCGGTGAGTCTAGCTGCTCGCTTCTCATCTCTTATTCATCACTTATTATTCGTATTCCGTCTTTATTATTGTTTACTGTTGTTCTGAGGTTGTGCTCGTCTCCCTCTCAAGGGGGGGGGGGGTCCAGATGAGTCACCAGAGGGGGTCCAGATGAGTCACCAGAGGGGGTCCAGATGAGTCACCAGAGGGGGTCCAGATGAGTCCAGAGAGGGGGGTCCAGATGAGTCACCAGAGGGGGTCCAGATGAGTCCCCTGAGGGGGTCCAGATGAGTCACCAGAGGGAGTCCAGATGAGTCCCAATGACCTCACTAACAACTGGAACTATTGCCTCAAATTTCTAAATAGCCGTAAAGGCAGGACTTAGGTGAATATATTCAGGTGAGTACACACACTCGCGCGGCGCGGTGAATGGTGAGTGATTCACCGTAGCTCAGTCAGGGGGAGTCTGGCCAGTAGCCGAATGGGTGACCGCACTCAAGAGCCTCACCCTTCCTTCCCTCAATCATTATTATTATTATTAACATCTTTATTGGCAAAATTAATTACAATTTTGCCTTATCTGAGGATTTCAATTAAGTCTTATTAAAGTGAGGATAATGCTGGTATTCACTGTCACGCAGGACAGAGGGTCATACACAAGACAATAGGTCTAAACTGTAGGCTGAAGCACATATATATCATGGTTACAATCAATGTTTTAATGTACGGATATGTTAATACAACTTTCTATTGTGCACTGCCACACAAGGGCAGGGATGGGTTCATAAGTGATGCAGCTTAGAAGTAATATAAATAAAAATTGTTCTTCATTCTTTAAAATGGACAAGCAAATTTTGGGTAAATTGTTAGGATGTCGTCCAGAACACCTGAGTCAATGAAATAGTTACACAGTTGGTGGTACAATAGGCCAGGAGGTCTAAAGTCCTTTACGGTTTCACATTCAACAATATAGTGTTCTAGTGAATGCATTAAAGGTTTATCACAGAGTTTACAATCTGAGTATTCTGGTAGTGGCTCAGCCTCACTAACCTGCCAGATGTGTCTATAGCCAAGGTGAATTACCACAATGACTACATCACATTGCCTGGTCCGGTTACTGTGCTGACCATACAAATACATATTATTACAAAACTTGTCATAACTTTTAATACTGCAGCTTTCAGGTCTCTGGGCATTTCTTAGTTCTTCTAAATCTGAATTAATTTCTTTAATTTGTATGTTTAATAATTGCATTAGATAGTCCAAAGTCATAATCAATGTTTTCTTTCCTACAAGCCTCATTGGCCAATCGATCTACAAAGTCATGTTTTCCAACTCCAACATGGGATGGGATCCACACAAATTTTATACAAGAGTTATTATCATTGGCAAAAATTACATCACTTTAAGGATAGTTTGGGGTTAATACTGAATGGGTTAAAGAACATGGAGAAGAGGAGGAGGACCAGGAGGAGAAGACGAAGAAGAAGAAGGAGAAGGACGAGGAGGAAAATTGTATGGTAGTGTGGCTGGAGGTGTGGTCGTGGCTGGTGGTGCCTCTGGTGATGTGGGGCCTTGCCAGTCACACTTGGCATAGTCTCCCTCTCTCTCTCCCCCCCCTCTCTCCCTACTTCCTCTCCCTCCCTCCTTCCCTACTTCCTCTCGCTACCTCCCCACTTCCTCTCTTTCTCTCTCTCCATTTCTTTTTCCACAGCGACAGCAATCGTTGGCTTTTTCATCAACAGTTGCTCGGAGTACTGCACCAGTTGATCAGGCGGCAGGTATACATTGATTTAAATGATTAATGCTAATCACCTGAGCCAAATAATACCTCCCCTCCCCCAAGCACACCAGAAGAACGTCGTAAACCTCACGAGCGACCTGATCCACTACAAAGCCAGCTCGGGGAACATACAAAGTGTTACGGGCTATTCATGCCCGTGCCACCACCTCTTGGGTGACTTAATCTTTATCAATCTTATACAAAGTGACCACAACACTAAACTTGAACTCTTGACAACGAAACCGTCCTACGAATGTCACTCACCACAGGTCAGAAGAACATGTATATATGCTGGTTAGCAGTGTAAATGTGTGGCCACGTCTGTGGTAGAAAATAATAATAATAATAATAATAAAAAATAACAGGTTGGTGAGCTGTGATAAGACTCGTCAACTATCATTCCCCCCTGACAATAACAACAGGCAAATGGGGTTCTAACAAGCATATTAGGTTTTATATGACAAGCATATGGAGTATACCGTACCGGAAGATCTTGTCTGACCAATCTGGTAGAACTCTTGATTGAATTACATATACCCCCAAAAAATTGGGACTGGAAGCATCTCCACAGATAAAATAGGCCTATAAATTCACATTGCCACACAGATTGGCGATTGTGTTCTAGACACAATCTTCTGGAGATTACAAACTGGGATTACAAACTGGGATTACAAAGTGGGTTGCCGAAAGTGTGAGGCGAGTGGTACAAAATTGTCTGAATGATTTATATCATCGTACTGTAAAGCTTCGTTATTAGTTACGTTGTTCATCAACGAGCAAAACCATGTATGTTCAAGCGTTCAAACAACGTAGGATGTGATTTGTCAGTCATATATGGCTGTGGTCTGACCAGCTGTGGTGGGGAGGGGAGGAGGGGGTGTTACATGGGGGTGTGTAGTTGGGGAGAGGGGGGGGGGGTGTTGGTATACTGAGCCGGCGGTGTATGGTATACAGCTGCTGCGTCGCTCGGGGTGTATGTTGCCAGACATTGCGAAAATGTTTTTAGTTCTCTTAGGTGTTGTTGGTGATGCTATTAATGCTCTCACCCCCTCTCACTGTCTGTTGCTCTCTCTCTCTCTCTCTCTCTCTCTCTCTCTCTCTCTCTCTCTCTCTCTCTCTCTCTCTCTCTCTCTCTCTCTCTCTCTCTCTCCCCCCTCTTGGACTCCCATGTGGCTCTCAAGGGTGCGACATTCTTGAGGCCGTTTCCACATGGATATAAAGATAGTTTTCAAGGCGTACTAAAGTGGGTTGGTGTGTGTGTGTGTGTACTCACTTAGTTGTGCTTGCGGGGGGTTGATCTCTGGCTCTTTGGTCCCGCCTCTCAACTGTCAATCAACTGGTGTACAGATTCCTGAGCCTATTGGGCTCTATCATATCTACATTTGAAACTGTGTATGGAGTCAGCCTTCACCACATCACTGCCTAATGCATTCCACCTGTTAACTACTCTGACACTGAAAAAGTTCTTTCTAACGTTCCTGTGGCTCATGTGGGTACTAAGTCTCCACCTGTGTCCCCTTGTTCGCGTACCGCCCGTGTTTTACGGTTTATCTTTATCTACCCTGTCAATTCCTCTGAGAATTTTGTAGGTAGTGATCACATTTCCCCTTACTCTTCTGTCTTCCAGTGTCGTAAGGTGCATTTCCTGCAGCCTTTCCTCATAACTCATGCCTCTTAGTTCTGGGACTAGCCTAGTGGCATACCTCTGAACTTTTTCCAGCTTCGCCTTGTGCTTGAAAGGTACGGGCTCCATGCTGGGGCCGCATACTCCAGGATTGGTCTTACATATGCTGTGTACAAGGTTCTGAATGATTCCTTACACAGGTTCCTGAAGGCTGTTCTGATGTTAGCCAGCCTCGCGTACGTCGCAGATGTTATTCTCTTTATGTGGGCTTCAGAAGAAGTTATTCTTAATATAAGGAGATATTTCTTTGCTAGCCTACATCTCTGATTAAACCATGTGATTCTCATCTGTATTTCGTTTTTTTGCTTTTGGACTGGGACAAACTTGTCTGTTGCCTCCTTACACTTCTGTGTGATGTAGTCCATCATGTCTTGAGCCGTCACTCTGCCTCGTGTGCGTGTGTGCGTGTGTGAGGCGCGCGTGCGGCGCGTTTGTGTGGCGTGTGAGGTGTGTACTAACCTAGAGGTGCGGGCTGTGGCATGGTGGCCGGGGTTGTGGTTGGCGTGTGGCCAGGTGAGCAGTCGTTACACTCGCCGTGTTGTCAGGGAACGCATGGTTTGTTTGGGCGGGGTAAGGCGAGCCTCACAGTAGGCGAGGGCGCCCCCCCGCGCCCGCTGACGGCGTCCACCTGTACTCCACTCTCTCACCCTACATCCCCCCCCACCTTCTCTCTCTCTCTCTCTCTCTCTCTCTCTCTCTCTCTCTCTCTCTCTCTCTCTCTCTCTCTCTCTCTCTCTCTCTCTCTCTCTCTCTCTCTCTCTCTCTCTCTCTCTCAAGTATCCCGAGAAGCGTCTTCAATACACGAAGGATATCCTTAAGCATCCACAGGACACCTATCAACACCTCGAGGAGGAGGAGGAGGAGCGAGATCACCTTATCCTGACCCCTTCCCAGTGCTATATAGTCGTAATGGCTTGGCGCGAAAGGTGAAAGAACAGGTGCTGGCTTCTTCCTTGGCGCATGCGCAGTCTTGTGCGTCTTGAGCAACAGGGGGAGGCATCTTGCAAGGAGCAATTCTTCGTTATCCGGATGGTTAGCTCGGTATCCGAACTCCGTTCTCGATGTCGATAAGGGAATAAAAAAGTTAAAGTAAGTCCAATATTGCTTTGTGTCACCAGGAGGTTCCTCCAGCATAATGTTTTGTCATGCCTATAAATGGCAACTTGGGAGCTTATATATATATTCAGCCTTGATCCGTTTTTTTATGTAAAAAAGAGTCAAATACGATTAATTTTAATTCTCTTTTGAAAGAAAATCCCTTCACCTACCTAAAAAAAAACCCTACAATATTGAGCTTTTAGATAGGCTTTTATATAGGCTTTAATATAGGCTTTTATATAGGCTTTTATATAGGCTTTTATATAGGCTTTTATATAGGCTTTTATATAAGCTTTTATATAGGCTTTTATATAGGCTTTTATATAGGCTTTTATATAGGCTTTTAAATAGGCTTTTATATAGGCTTTTATATAAGCTTTTATATAAGCTTTTATATAAGCTTTTATATAGGCTTTTATATAGGCTTTTATATAGGCTTTTAAATAGGCTTTTATATAG